TAATTTCTTCAATGTATTGACATGCATAAACATCAGTTGGAGTTTGATCGATTTTATCAGTTTAACAAATCAGCATATGTTTTCATTTTCTTTTTGCATTAAACTTTCAAAATCGTATTTCGTTTATTAAAATAAAGACTTGCGTCATTTGCATTGTTCTTTCTTTTATTCCGATTTATTATTCGCATAGATATAGGTCATGTAAAGTATCTAACTGCAAATTCATTTTGTAAAATTACGTGTGTATTTATTATCTCAATTTTTACGCAATACTCTTATTGTTAATTTTTTAGTTAAAATTTACACTTATTTAGCGCATAAAACAATAAAATATTTAATGCAACCCATCATCTGCAATGCAAATATCATGCCAGTTCAAGCATAGTTATTATATGCCTTTCGCTTTTTAATTTATTCGATTGTCCTGATTAATATAGATTAATTAATTTCACATGTTCCAGATTTACAATCACATCGATCCTTATTTTTTATCTTGCATCATTTTACATAATTTTTTTAAATATTTAATGAAGTTAAATCTTAATTGCATAGAAAGCAAAGAATAAATGAGCATTAATCATAACACAGCCACACAAAAAAAATTTTGGTTCTGACCTGGGGGTCTGACTATGTGTATCTTATGTTTTTGGGGTCTCTGAATCCGAATCCGAGGTCCATTTAACCTCATCAGATCAGGATTTTTTTCTAACCTAAAAAAACCAGTCGGATTACAATTTTTTTAAAACATTGATGGATTTACATGAAATTTGTTACTTGTTTTTGAGGTCGCTGATTACGAATTTGATGCTAGATTTTAAAAATGCAAAGTGGCGTATCCAATATGGCGGACACATTTAACAAAAATTCATATTTTTTTGAAACTTGGTATCTAAGGGTCTTCGGGGTCGCTGATTACGAATTTAGAGTCAGAATTTCCAAATTACAAGTAGCGGATCCAAGCTGTGAAACCCTAGAACCCTTATAAAGTTACTTTACCCAATCATCAACTTCACACTAAATGACTTTATCTTTACATTCATTTAACTAAGGTCAGTTTTTTAAATCATTGTACCGTCGGCATTGGCATTACCCGATGTACACCGCGGGGAGGTTGCGCGATCGGATTTTGTACATCATGTAGCCCTTAAAAGGGCTGATTGATAAAATAATAATGCCGCTCATAAAAGGCATAATATTTTAATGGTTCTCTTTTTTTGAGCTATATCGAGTTCTTTTCTCTTCAAAAGATCTATGTAAAGGATTTCTTTTACGTTTGTTGTTTTGTTCAAGTGATTCTCTTTTGAGCATCCAGCAAAAATCTGCCAACATATTAACGTCCCACCGTCCCTGATAGCGAGTTTCAACAAGTTTAATGTCTTGGTGGAAACGTTCACCCTGTTCTTCACTGAAGTGCCCCAGGTTTTCAGGAAATTTGTCAAGATGAGAGTGCAGGAAATGCAGCTTCAAATTCATCAAGCATCCTAGTTCCTCATAGTCATTTATCATCTTGGCCACTATTTCTTTGTATTGTGGACTTTTTCGATTTCCTAAGAAGTTTTTTTCTTGTATGTGACTTTGATGTCATCATTAATTTGTTTTCGCAATGAACTAACTTCGTACTTGCAGCAAATGTAACAAAACACATTACGATTACTATCGCAATCGTGACATAGACTGTTACTTTTTCTTGTCGAATTGTACTCTACATTGGCCAAGTTTCCCACCAATGAAGAGCTGCAGTTGCTGGATGATGACGCCTGAGAGCCTGCTTTCTCACCCTCAGCCGCCGATACTGGGGTTCCGAGTCCCTGCATCGTAACACGTTTCCTACGTGGATCTGCCATGACGGCATCAAAGCCGTTATCCAGGGACTTAGCCGGATAGCGGACAATCTCCGTTGCCCACCGTCACCACGTGGAGGTGCCCTGGATGCAGATACACACAAGACAAATTTCCTGAAAACCTGGGGCACTTCAGTGAAGAACAGGGTGAACGTTTCCACCAAGACATTAAACTTGTTGAAACTCGCTATCAGGGACGGTGGGACGTTAATATGTTGGCAGATTTTTGCCAACCTCAAAAACAAGTAACAAATTTCATGTAAATCCATCAATGTTTTAAAAAAATTGTAATCCGACTGGTTTTTTTAGGTTAGAAAAAAATCCTGATCTGATGGGGTTAAATGGACCTCGGATTCGGATTCAGAGACCCCAAAAACATAAGGTACACATAGTCAGACCCCCAGGTCAGAACCAAAATTTTTTTTGTGTGGCTGTGTAATCGTTGAGGAACGTTAAAAATATAATTTTAGAAATTAAAAACGCGAAATGTTAAATAGACTCTATTTAACATTTTGCGTTTCTAATTTCTAAAATTATAATTACTATTTAATAGAGCAAAAGATGTTGTGAGACAAACAACAGTAAAAATTCATTGTTATGCATCAATTTTATACTCTTGAAATGAATTAAAGAATGAAAAATGTTTTTAAGATGCATTTGAATAAAATGTTTGCAAAAATATTCTCAGAAAAGCTCACAAAAAAATTGTTCACATGATTTAAAAAAAAAAAAGAAATATTAAAAAGACATTTTTTAATTCTTTTTTCAAAAACTGATCATTTTTGTTTATGGTAGGGGAGACCGGGAACAAATGTAACATTTTAACTTTGAAGTGTTATAACAGTTAAAATACAATATTTACATTTAAAAAAGTATATACCTTTAGATGTAGAATTTATTTAGCTACAAAATTTTCTTCGATTCAATTTTTCAATGTAACTAGAAAAAAAGTTATGTTTGTTTAAAGACTATGAGGAATTTTGTTACAACTGTCCCAACCCCTGGGACGATTGTAACAGTAGAGAGGGACAATTGTACCATACTATTTATAAATAAAATAATGGTTATTTTACTGGTTTTATTAATAAAAATACATAATAAAGAAAGGTTCAAATAATTCAAATAAAATAAAATAAATCAGAAGAGCTACGAGCCAAAACAAAACAAATTTTAATGTACATATGATACAGTTGATATTAAGTAAAATAAAAATAAAAACAAAATAAAAATATGTTTACATCAACTAACGTTTCGACCACCTTCATTTTCAAAGTTATAAACAAGTATGTATATGAAAGTGGTTGACTACAATAGATTAACATAGATCACTAATTATAGAAGTATATGAAAATGATTAAAAATAGACCTTCGTTGTTCAGGCCTGATTTCAGTTTTATGTAGTCGACGGAAGGTAGATCCTGAATTTACGCCAAACATTCAAATATCGCTGAGTATCCAACAATGAATAGATGTAGTTGTCAAAAAATAAATCCTGGATATACGCCATGGTTCGATTACAAAAAGTATTCGCCAAATATAAAAAAGTCGCTGATAATGCTATTAAAGTAAGCCGAAGTAACAGTCCTTCTTACAAAATCCAGATTCTACAGTATAAAATTGAATAACTGACCCTAGGTCATCGATGTTATTATTGTCCCCTAATGGTATTTTATGATATTCATAGTAAATTTTTAAAATATAAATCTAGATAAAAATCAACTTAAATGTGAAAAGCATCAACACAGATAATTATTAAAACATATTAAGATAATACATTATATCTTTGTTATAAAGAAAAAAAAAATATTTTGAATTTTGTGTACGCAATGAAAGTTACTTGTTGCATGAAAAAAGTAATTTCTATTTCTGCACTCGTGCACGTTCCGCGAAAATTAGCATGTAACGAACGATTCAATGCCTATCTGTTTATAGAATTTTACCACGCGGCCATATACATAGATATATCTGTTATAGTTTAAGAAATATTGACGATGTTACTATTGCCCCATGTTACTTTTGTCCCCGGTCTCCCCTCCTACGTTTATTTCTTAGGCCGGATAAGCAAATTAATTCTCATTATGCGATCAATTTGCAAAGTACAGAAACCGCTTTCTCAGCGCAACGAATGATTCTACTACATTAGTTTTGTAATTACTAATGTCAAAAATCCAATAATTCGATACTTCTCGATCGTAATGTGGGGTAACAAAGTTAAAAATTTCAGAAAAATTCCGCCACGACTGTTCAATAACCAATATAACTAATACGGTCGTCTACATAAAACACAAACAATTTGATATCTTCTCTTTGTTCTTTTTTGCATACGCATCTTACAGTAATGTAGTTCAGTCGAAGTAACGATTAAACAAACCGGTTTTTTATGCGATTATCCTTCGTCTTTGCATTTAACCGGTCTTGCCTAATTACTTACTCGTTAAAGCGACAACAAGTTGACCTGTCATTTGCAAATAACAATGTAAAGCTTTTATAAATATTGTAACGTCAGATTGTGTGTATGGTATAGATGGTCAGATATATGTACATATACACATACATGTATGTATATTACAATTTACATTACAACTTTTTAATAAGAAGATAACGAAATCAATTTTTAATAAGAAGATAACAAAATCAATTTTTAATAAGAAGATAACGAATCATGTCTTATTTACATATATATGCGTGAGCATGATTCTTTCTCCAAAAGAGAATGTATTATATTAATTATACGGAACGTAATAAAATAAACGTGACGTCTTTAATATAAGATGGGGCCAATAGTTAACAAGATAATTGGAAAAAAATTATCTGACAGTCTAGATTTATCTCGTAGTAATATATGTAGGTATATCGCATAAACTTGTTTCTGATGACTTTGTGAAATAATTTCTCTGTAGCTGTTGCATATTTTCCTGTAGCACTATCAATAAGTCATCACATTTTATCGACTTTTTTTTTAATTGGCTCTGCTCTTTTTTTATGCAGAGTATATTTATTCTTTTATTATTGCTTAAATACTTATTCAGTTATCTCGATTAATATCATTAATTCTTTACATAAAAACGGTATTTTAACAAATAATTAGCACATTTTAGCCATAATTAAATCCTAATTATAAATTATTCTGACACACATGACCCTAATTTATCGTTTCAGGTTGAACCAATAAGGCATGTGAGAGCGGGAATCATCGAGAACGACGAAAGCGAGTGTGACAAATTGCATCTGTAGTGAGCAAAGAGAGAATTGAAAGAAAGTGCAGTGAACGTGCGCGCTCAAACGTGTTCGAATGGTATCTGAGACATTGTGACGTTTCCCTTCTTTATTTTTTATTGTGTGTATGCGAGCGAGTTTGTCTTCCGAATCATCGCCTTATCTGCATTTGCCATGACCACTCCGACGCCTTGTTCGCCGTCGCGGTCTTCTCTGAGCTGCTGCCAGTTCGACCATAGCAGCCAGGACGACATGCGAGACTCGGCTATTATAGGCAACAACAATTATTTCCTACAGCAGGAGAAACACTCTTTTCCAAAGAGGCCCGAACTTGACCTGACGTTCCGCGATATACGCTATCGCGTTAAGGAATGGAGCATACGCAACTTCTCAATCAGTAAGTATAAATAATATATTAATGTTTGTATAAATAGTATAACACATCAGTTAGCACGAAAATAAAAGTTTTAATAATAACAATAAAAATATAAGTATTTAAAACTCGAATGGACAAGTGAGAGTAACTCCGCGGGTTTTCTTTGCGTTTTCTTGAAAAGCTCGTTCTTGCAATTTTTTACATTAGTCTCGTACGTTTCAGGTACTTTGAGCCATTTTTAACGAATAATGTTTGAATGTTCGTGATTAACTTTTTCGCATAGTGTTCATTTCTGGTTCGCAACGAGTGTAATCTCAAATTTCCTAGGTCGGGTTTTTATTCTGTCAAAATTAATTTTTGGAATAACATTGTGATTAATAATTTTATATGAATATTTAGTCTTTAATTGAAATTTTGGATAACTCACCAGTTGTTTGCTAGAATGGGAAGTACATTTTGTTTAACGATGTTGTAATTACAACATTTTTCAGTGCTTATGATTATCTTTAAGTCCTCTGTTGCGTTAAGGGATGCTAAACCGATTACCCAACTCAATCAAGGTCGATAGTACAGACTTTTTTAATTCCAATTTCGATAATAGTGGC